TATCTACCATTCATTTATGCTTATAATATTGCTGCCATATAGGGTCTGATGCTTCTGCTATACATTTAGAGATCCTTGATAAAATCCAAAAAAGAATTTGATCCTGACCTGGCATCTCAACTCACACCCCACCATCATAATGTAGCCTAACCTATCCCTTTTCCATAAATACTTTCACAGTAAATGTTCTAATAAAGTTTCCTCTATAGTACCTAAACTCTATGAATTTAACCGCAGTACGAGATTGGCAGCAAGGTCTCATCATTTTACAGGTGAAATGGCTAGATGTAACCATAAATTCTATGCTAAGTTTCTAAGCACTTCTTGCTTGTGGAACGCTCTTCCGGATTCTTGCTTGCCCGTCAAATTTGATTTTCAAAAATTTAAATGCGATGTCAATCATTATCTTCTGTCCTCTTAAATTCTGTTCTTTTATTGTTATTGATTCTTAATAAGGTTTCTCTTATATTCTTTCACACTCAGTAATCCCCTGCATGGTGGTGGCTCTGTTGCCTTGCTTGGAGGTAAAATAAATTAAAAAAAAAAAATAATAATCAATAGTTGGATCATCAAAAGACATAACAGAAAGTCAGTTAAAAAGACAAGCTGATTGTCCCTGCAAAAATGCTTCCTGATATTAAATGTAATGATCAAAAGACTATTATATAAAATGATAAGACTTATGCATGGAGGAGGAGGAGTTAAAAACATGTGACAATTTGATAAACTTAACTGGAAAAAACAAACCTGGATTTAAACCCCTGACAGAACAGTAAAGTGTTATCCAATGAACACAAGAGTAATTATTTACACTATTTACATTATTCGGACTATTGTCCTAATGTTTATCGCCATGTTTATCACAATATTTCGGTCGTTGTATTCTCTGGCTTTCTTCAGGTGGTTGGTATGTCAAACTGAACCCTTTAACACATGGCACAGTGGATAAAGGCATTAGTTAGATCCAGTGACCGGACCCAAAGAGCAGGAGTTCAAAACCTGATAAAGATGGTGGAGAACTTTGAGAGGGGAATTAACAGGAGATAACTGACATCCATTAGACATGGCAGGTGGAAATAGAACAGTCTACCCCAGTGAGCAAAATAAAGGGTTCAGTTCGACATTCTAACCACCTGAAGAGAGCCGGAGAGTACAACAGCCAAAACGTTGTGATAAACATGGCGACAAAGATGAAGACAATAGTCTGAATAATGTAAATAGTGTACATAATACCTCAACTCAGAAATATAGACAGTAATTATTTATCATTGCACTTTGAACAGCAAAAATTTAGAGGGAGGAAGCAGTGTCCATTATTATTATTATTATTTTTTAATACACAAAATTATTCATAACTGATGCATACCCAAATTTGTTGTACACACAGCTGAGTGGATATGCATATACAAAATATACACAAACACATTTTTGCACAGAGCAGAATTGTTTTTCTCATCCAAATTATGTGCCAAGATAATTTTTTTTTTTTTTTTTGAGGGGGTGGGGCTAACAAACTTGCTCCCAAATAATAAAAAAAAAAATTAAAAGAAAAGGGGGTGAGACATGCCTTCCCCTTAAAAAAAAATAAAAAAATAAAAGTCAAATACAGCTTTCCCATGTAAGGGTATTGTTTTTATTATGATTAATACTTTATTTAATAAAAAAAAAAAAAATTGTTTACTTTAAAAATGTATACAAAAAAAAAAAAAAAAAAAAAAATTAAATATGTGTTGCACATATGTACATATATGAACAAGCAATAGATACAGCAAAGGACTAAGGCATAATAGTATTCCACAAATGTTTGTAATCTTTTTTTTTATTATTATTTATTTTTATTTAGTACATTATGAAATCAAGAAATGAAAAAAGAAAGAAAGAAAGAAAGAAAAAAAAGACAGCAAATAAACATAACACAAATAACCTTGTCTATTTTTGAAAAGAGTTGTCAGGAGTTAACATGTGGCTTCACATGTGGCTTAAAAGCAAACAACAGAAAATACGAATCTAGACTAAAAAGAACAGGATGTCTACAATAGGAATTTATCATGGTATTCTATGATTACTATATATATATATATATATATATATATATATATATATATATATATATATATATATATATATATATATATGTGTGTGTGTGTAATAAAATATACTTTTAAGGTATGCTATATTTACAGGCTGAAGTGCTCATTATCATGGATAGAGCGTATGTAAATATAAAAGTGTATGTGCAGTCAAAATCCAGCATTGACATTCTGTTTCATGCTTATATGCAATCATCACACCATATTGATTTGGCCTGACAATTGCATATAAGCATAAAACATTGTTGATGCTAGGTGTTGACGGCAATGTCCACTTCATATATAATTTGAGTATCTCGTCCCTTATACTGCCTGAATATTGTGAGACAGCCATATAACTATCTAGGTATCCACATGAAACTAAATCATGGAAGGGCAGTAGTATCTGAATATTGTTTGTTTTTATTATATATATATATATATATATATATATATATATATATATATGAGGACGCAAATTTTTGCAACAATTATTAAACAATTAGAAAGGGAAAGCATAAAAGACAAAATGAAATAAAAATCTAATATTTTTAAAAAAATAATATTTAAAAAAAAATAATGGTAATAAAAGGAAATTGAATATATTTCCAGAATCAGGAATAATTGCTTTAATCCTAAGCTACGAGCAGAGAACGTAACTATATAGGAATGACAACAACAAAATGCTGTGAGGATTGTTTACACTGTGCCCGGTGACACTAACTTAAAAGGTTGACCAAGGAATGCCCAGGTTTACATGCATATAAAGACAACAATGACACAACATACAGGTCAGAAAGCAAAAAAAAAAAAAAAGAAAGTGTGATAGTTGTTTATAAATTTGTGATTTAAAAAAAAAAAAAAAAAAAATGCTTGACCCCCAATGGCAGACATAACACAAATCCTGATTGAATGTAGGGGCTCTCATATATTTAGTCCCCATGACCTATTCTGCAAAAGATATCAGAGCAACCCACAACACTTTAGTCAACTGGGGTGATACTGTACCAGAACTGAAATCTCCAGGGCTTAAGCATATATGCTTCAATTTTATATCCATCTTGCTTGATAAGACATGACTAATCTGTACACCAAAGGGCCAGAGAGGATATTAAAAAATGCCCCCTCCATTTCTAAAAAGTTAAAATATTAATAACAGTTACCAATACTATTCTTGTAAAATGGCTGATAGACTTAGAAACAGACTGGAATTTTAACACATATGACATTCGTTTCAATGTCCAAAGCATCTTTACTTACAGCTTAATATGGCATCCAATTAAGACTGAACTCACTATACCAGCAAAGGATCTGAGCAACTGGCTTGCTAATAGTTTGTGACAGAAATCTCCATTTCCTTTTTTATAGCTTAAGAAAAAAAAAAATTTAAAAAAACAAACAATTTTATAGGCAATTGGAAAAGGTGGAGCATCTAGTTTACCCCAATTTTGAAGATCTATGCAGACTTAACGAACTTGAAACCATAACACCCTAGGCAAGGTTGTGTGTGCAAAACTGAATGGGCATAGATAAGAATATTTATTGTATAAAATATATATATATACAAATGTAGCAACTCTTATGGGATATATGCGGTATTTGTTTCGAACGGCATATATTTTTTCAATTATCCAAAATAATTGTTAACATAAAAACAAAAAAACAAATAAGCTTTTATGTAAGCAAAATATTGATTTCATGATGGCAAAAGTTTGATAGATTTTTCTATTATGAAAAAAGGATTTGATTGCTTGATTTATTTTTACGGCTTATCAACTTTTTGCAGATTATTTAAAGCCAGAAAATATTTTTACACTGTAAGAATTTTTAAGAGATAATGACTTTTACTGATACAAGGCACAAATCCATTTCTTCTCCTCTCAGCTATGAGTTAAGTGACAAGGCAGACTGGGCTCTGAAGCCTTCAGTGGCAACCAGTATATGAGCAGGACAACTCTAGTGTGTTGAGGCTGTGGAGGACTGATTGAGTGATTTGTTTTTATGACTTATCAACCCTTTTCAGGTTATTTAAAGCCAGAAAGTATTTTTACAGTGTAAGAATTTTTTGAAGTTAATGATTTTTATTGATACAAGTTCTACTAATTAACCCATAGCTGGGGAGAAAAGAGGCTGATTCATACCTCTCCCAAGGTTATTTGTGCATAAGTGAATATAACAAACCTGGAATTGGAACTCAGCTCTCTGATTTCCAATTCCAAGCAGTTATCCATTACACCAGCCGCACATCCAAGCTTACAACATCTGGTATTCCCAAGTGGTCACCCATCTAGGTACGGACCAGGCTCAAAATTGCTTAACTTTGGTGATCGTAAGCCATGACAAAAGAATGAATAAAATAAATAAAAGTAAAATCTCGAACGTAACGGAAGTCAATTCCCAAGACAGAAACATGCAACGAAGACCCAAAGCACTCTAGGTGATGTGTCACATGGAAAATAAGCTACAGTCAGACATGTAATAATATTCACTTGCTACACTAACGAGATTTGTTTATAATTAAAATAATTAGAATTTAGCACAAGTTCTTAAAATGTCTATACTTAAATTAACTCAGTAATCCTCTACATTTACTGGCTCTTGAATGAAGTAAAAAAAAACAAAAAAAAAACTGTCGACTGTTTCAAAACTTGATCGATTTGTTTTTGTTTTTTTTTATGGCTTATCAACCCTTTGAGTTATTTCAAGCTGAAACTTATTTTGTTTTGTAAGAATTTTTTTTTTTGCGAGTGAATATTACATTAACAATTTTTTTTGAGAATAAAAATGATTTTTCCAGATACAAGTCCTACTATTTAACCCATAGCTGGAGGGGAGGAAATGGATTCATACTTTCTCAAGAGTATGCATAAGTAGATGTGATGAACCTGACTGGAATGAAAACTTGGCTCTCTGATTCCTCATTCTAAGCCACTGTCCATTGCACCACACACAAAGTTTGTAGTAACTAAATAGCTTGATGAATATGGTAAATAACTAAGCATTTTCAAGGTCTTGCAGAACATTTGACATATCTTGCAAAATCACCCCATAAGAATATAATTTTCTATTGTTTCTTTTATGAAGCCAGTTTACACTTTACGTTTCATAGAATTTTAGGTTACATCTTAAATACAGGTGAAAATACATGAAATAATAAAATATAGGGATAGTTAGATTCATGACTCAAGTTTCATACATTGTCAGGTGTCATCTTGTATAGATTAAAAACAAAAAGTTCTATAGTAAACAACTGACAATATTTAAATTTGTTGTTTACATATCCGAAAAGAGTATTTAATTTTTCTAGAATGGCGATGTCCATTGGGTTCATTACATTCACTTGCATAAAAATACCATGAGGAAAGGATATGAATCCATCTCCTCCCCCACCCATGGGTTAAATAGTAGGACTTGTAGCTGGAAAAAAAAAAAAAAAAAAAAAAATCACTGTTAATGCAATGTTCACTTACAGAAAAATAAAAAATTATTCTTACAATCCAAAATAAGTTTCAGCTTTAAATAACGCACAAGGGGTTGATAAGCCATAAAAAACAAAATCAATCAATCAGTGTGTATGTGCTTACAAAGTTGGTTTGGTTTGTCAAGCCTTGAAAAAAAAAAAAAAAAAAAAATCTTACAATCCAAAATATATTTTGGCTTTAAATAACCTACAATGGATTGATAAGCCATAAAAAAAAAATTCTTGGCCAATATTTTGGATAATTTAATTATTCTCTAACACTTTTTATCTGAGAAGAATATAAAATAATTCAGTTTCTAAGAGTCTCTAGTTTTATTGACTCAGATAAACAGGAGTTTATAAATAGTAAGTGTTTATTTCAGTTGTCATATAAAGTCATCAGCCTGATTAGTACCAAGTATTAAAGTTGAAACAATGAACCGAGCACATTATCTATATTTACTAACTCACTTGTCTGTGTACTTAGTATTGTTATACCAATTTTGGTGATATTAAAATATTGCTATCAGAATATATTATAGTTTACAAGGTAGTTTTTTTTCATCTGTATTAGTAAAAGAAAAAAATTAAAATATGCAGAAAAAATTCAAAATAGATATTAGAGTTTGATTTATTCTCTACAAAGTCAAGAAACTAAACTTGGAAATTTTCTTCTGATTGAAGACAGCAAACTAAAATTCAAACTTTGAACAGAAATGATTCAAATAAAATTTAGTCTAGAAATTATCATCAACAAAAAAAAAAAAAAAATGTCATTTATTTTGGTGTTTAGAGATCAAGTAGGAAATGGTTATGAATATCACTACTATTGCAATAAGAACAAATTGAATGGAGACATTTTTGAAGTAAGACCTTGGGCAATTCTACAGTCATATTATAAACAATTTGGAAAACGAGATTTGCTTGCTGAAAGCCTAAAACAAAAGAACCTAACGAGAAAGAAAAATTTAATTTTACCTATCTTTCCTTATTTGCGATGTCTACAGGCTTTTCAGACTATATATCAATTTTGTTTTTCACTAAACTAAAACTTCTACAATAAAATCTTCTTAACTAATGTATAAAATTAAAATGTAGTTGTAAGTTGCACATTACTATTGAGTATAAGGAAATACTAACAGTAGGATAAAACTGTACAAGAACTGTGATTCCAAGAGTTGTTTAGACAATGGAAACTATTCTTTATGTTGTTACTACAATGTTTTGGACGATTTATTTTACAGCCTTATTCAGACTTACAATCTTTTAGAAAAGAGATTGTACAGATGGACCAGTCAAAATGTAGTAACAAAATCCACATAAAAATGAGATTATGGTTTCAACAACTCTTGGAATGATTATGACCTCTCAAAATTATAGAAAGGGTTCTTTCATGAAGATGGTTGGAGAATAGATTGACTGAAATATAGTGGTCACAAAAAAAAGCAATTCAAGAATTAATTCAATTGTCTTAACAACTCTTGGAATTATAATGACTCGTCTCAAAGTGATAGAAAGTATCTTCCATACAGTTGTACACCTAAAGATGGTTGGGGAATAGATTAACTGAAGTGTAGTAAAGAAAAAAAAAAGCAACACAAAGAATAAAGAATGAGTTAAGTCATCTGAACAACTCTAGAATTGATAATGACTTCTTGAAATTATAGAAGATTTCTTCCATACACTTGTACACCTGAAGATGGTTGGAAAATGGTTCTGACTACTACATTTCAATCAATCCAATGTAATACAAAGAATGAGTTCAATTGTCTGAACAACTGTTAGAATGATAATAACTTCTCAAAATTCTAGAAGGTGTCTTCCATACAGTTGTACACCTGAAGATGGTTGGACAATGAATTGACTGAAATGTAGTGGTCAGAATAAAAGCAACACAAAGAATGAGTTTCATAGTGTGAACAACTCTTGGAACGATAATGATACTTCTCAAAATTAAAAAAAAAAAAAAAATAATACGTGTCAAGTCTAATTAAAAAGCCAGGAAGTGTCTTTTTTTCTTTTAACTATAGCCATGAAGACTCTTTCTAAAGATATCTTTATATTTCTGAGATGAGGTATTGTAATTATTTACATTGTTCAAACTGTTGTCCTCATCTTTATTGCCATATTCACAACATTTCGGCCATTGTATGCTCCAGCCTTCTTCAAGTGATTGGAATTTCAAATTGAACCCTTTATTTCATCCACTGGGGTAGACTGTTCTAGTTCCATGTACCATGCCTCTTCTGGAAGTCTCAATTATCACCCTTTAACTCAACTCTCAAAGTTTTTGTTCACCACTGCCATGGCCAAGTATTGAACTCACAATTCTTTGAGTCAAGTCACTGGATCCGACCAACACTGGACCAGATGTCCTTGTAGTTTTTCTAAAGACTAAATTAAATTTATGGTGTACAAATCTCAAAGTCTTTACATCCAAATAATTATATTAGTTAAGAGGAGAAAAAATATCAACACTGAATAAATGTTTTAAGAACAAATACATTTCTTTCTGTATATTTTACAGAAATAAGCAAACGTTTTGCAGATAGAGTTAAATCATCAAATATCGACAATTCATTATACTCATGATGAAGATGAAAAGTGTTAAAATAAAATTTTCAAATTAATTTTATAAGAATCAATAAAATATATATAATTTATATCTATATTTTATAAGATCAATAAAAATGAATTTGGGGGAGATGAACTTCTTTTGTTATACAGCTTTACAGCTAAGACCCACCATACCATGTATACAGGAACAAATCATCCTAGTTCCCTTCATATCCTATTGGCAAGAAGGAAATACCATTCGAACAGCTTGTGGAACAATCTCCTGAGAGGATACTTCCTCAAACACTAGAATCTTAAATTCTTCAAGTTCAACTATTATTTATCCTACATATCCTCATAATCTACATTTCTTCCAGGCATAAAACGACCCTATTCAATAACCCTCTACCTTGATTGGCTCTTGGGACTTGCATTAGGTGAACAATAGACAGAAAAAATAAGATAAAGTACTTTGTTCAGATGTTCTATAAGTTAGCATTAAGCACTATTTTCTTCTCATTAACTTAGCAAAAATCTATCCCACGTTTTCTATACGGAACAGAGTTTGGGAAAAGAAAAATACAGCCAATAAATCTTTGTATGTAGTTAAGCAGGAGTAGAGGTTTATCCCTCGTTTCCTATTTAGGATTTGGTTTCTGGTTCCTTCCAAAGTCTACTTCTACACTATCACTTCTAATGTCTCCGACTGAACTCAGAAATTTTACTCACTAATTAAATCTTGACAACTTCAAGTCTAGAGTTGGACGTTGTTTTCCCTGCACAGCCCCAGGAACTTCACTTCTTACCTTTTCTTGTACTAATACAACACCACACAGTAAACCTCACCTTGAGTGGCTCTTGAGCCTTGTGTTGGGCGAACATTAGTTGAGAAAAAAAAAAAAAAAATTGCTCATATTAATTTCCTTATCTTTGTTGTGTTTTTTTTCTCCCGACCTCCCACATAATACTGTTTCATCCATATACACCTTGATTTTCTGAAGGTGTTGTTTTCACTGGAAACAGGTAGCTTTGGTAGGTTGGATAACACAGGGTTAGAATGTTTTAGAAGGTTAGTAAAAACAATAAAGATAAGGACATGTGTCTGAATTACCCACATACATTCAAGTACCTCACGTAACAAAAAAATATAGATGTGTGGTTATTGTGACTAATATCAGAACAGAAAGTGAAATCAAAGAGTTAATTTCAGATTCTGAGTTCATTTGTCGCACTGACTTTGAATGTATCCATGCCCTCTTAGCTATCAGTTAAATAGCAGGAAAGACTGGGTCCTCTAGCCTTAAAGGAGGCACGGTGGAGTAATGGATAGCGACTTGGATTGAGGAATCGGAGAGCAAAGTTCAAATTCCAGTCGAATCCATTACATTCACTTACGTGCTAACACCCTTGGGAAAGGTGTGAATCCTCTTTCTTCTCCCTCCAGCTATGGGTAAATAGCAGGACAGACTGGGTTCTATAGCCTTGGATGACAACTGGTCTAGGAGAAGGAAAACTCTGAATTCAAACCTGCTCTTAGAGGAGGGTAAATGGAGTCTCTGAGCCTTGGTTGGCAATTCATTTAGTGTTGGTGTCACGATAAAAACACCCTTGATAGCCCTAGTGAAGCATCAAGAATTCAGCTATTTGACAAGATTATGAACTACACCAATCAAAGTATTAGTGAGTTCAATCTCGGCTGAGGCCGCAAGATGATGATGAGCCTTAGGTAGCAACCTGTCTAAAAGAAGGAAAACTCTGAATTCAAAATTGTGGAGAAAAGAACAAAGCATTCCACTATCTTTCTCAAGAAGTTATGGCAATTCACAGATAATAAAAAAAAAAATCTGAGGAAAGTCACTATTACCTATGTTTGAAAGAACTATATATATATATATATATATATATATATATATATATATATATATGCATGCATGTTTCATTAAATAATATAGACAAGTTTTGTCTATTTATTTTAAGTTCTTTCATATTGTCTGATAAGCTTAATCACATTATCGTTAAAAAGACAAAAGGAAAACACCATATTGATACATGTTTAAATCCAATCTAAGCTTTCAGCTTACACAAGCCATTATCAAAGATGACAATTTCAATAAATCAAACAACACACGGACGAAACAACAATGATTAGTCCGCCCTTGCTGCATGAAAATTTCCAAATAATGACAAACTTGTATATACAACACGTGGAAGCAAAAATCACGTCGCAACTCGTGACGTCACACAGGAGTGAAAAACGAGAAGTATTAAGTATGGGAAGCCATTGGTATAAACCAATGGCTTCTGTTATAAATTATAGGCATTTAAGGATATTTGTGGAGATTTCATAATTTATTTTGTTCAGGTTAGGTTTCAACTGTTTTATGTATAAAACTTCAAAATTTTAAATTTTGTTTATTGTTTTCATGTTTAAATATAATTGTGTTTTCAACAAGGATTTTACAGAATTGATGCGTGGGCAGGCATGTTGTTTTTTATATATATATATATATATATATATATATATATATATATATATATATATATATATATAGTGTGTTTTTGTGTGCAACACAGGATATATAATCGACAAAATTTTGAAGAAATATGACAATTAGAAATAATTTCATTGAAACCAGAATTGATTACGCGTTTCACCTTTCCATACTTCATCAGATCAAAAAACCAAAAGACGTGTGTGAGCACATGTGCTTAAAATAATAAATCATCAGTACTTTTGCCACTAAGATGGCATTTCTCATGATGAAAGAAAAGAATTAAAATGAGTGACTTAAAAAAGCCATTAATATTTTGTATCATTTCTTTATAATTCTTAGTTCATGTCAAAAGCTGGTGAGAATATATATATATATATATATATATATATATATATATAAAAATATATTGGAGGCACAGTATAGTGGACGGTGGATAGCAGCTCAAATTGAGAAATTGGAGAGCTGAGTTCAAATTCCAGTTGAATCCATTACATTCACTAAAGTGCTAATACCCTTGGGAAAGATATTAATCCTCCTCTTCCCCCTCCAGCTATGGATAAATAGCAGGATAGACTGGGTTCTATAGCCTTGGATGGTAACTGGTCTAGGAGAAGGACAACTCTGAATTCAAAAAACCTGCAGTGGGTCATTTGGGGACCTTGTGGCATGTAGTGCACTAGGTCTCTGTATTCAGTCCTTCAGAAAGTTTGGTTAGTTCTGCACAAAGCCTTCACCACTATAATCAAATTTCATATGTTGGTGTCTGGGCTGTCAGTTCCTAGGAACTTAGCTGCTTGAACCTCATATATCGAATACAACAGGAGAGTCCATCTACCCCATTGCTAGCATTTTATATTTTTAATTTTGTGCATGCATTTAGTTTGTTTCAGATTTTGTCAACTGCACAGTATAGTAAGGTCAGTTGGGCATGGCCTGAGAAAAAGAACACTATGATGCAATTCACTCTGCCAGAAATTTAGAAATGGCATGTTGCACACCTTGGCATTCACACTGGAAGCTTCAATATGACCATTTCAGATTGTGAGGGTGTCAATCTGAAGACATTGCAGAGTATTTGAAAAGAGTTGGATGAGTCTAATGATGATTATAAAGGTGTTTGGAGTGATCACTAACGATGGTGACATTATGACTCCATACATCACGGTCTCAGACTCAACACAGAGGCCTACATCAAGTGCTTTGAGGAGGTAGTGCTGCCCTGGGTCAAGAGAATGGCTACTGGAAGACCCTATGTCTGGCAACAGGACTCTGCACCATGCCACCCAAGCAGAAACCAGCCAGCCATAGCACTCAGACAATTTCAGTGACATCACATCACCCACCTATATCTGGCCATCTAACTCCCCAAACAGCAACCCCCTTGATTATTATGTATGGGGCACAGTTGAGCAAGAGACCAACAAAATTCCGTGAAGATGAACTGAAAACACGGATTATGGCAACATTCACCAACTTAAACAAAGAGACCATCCAGAAGATTTGCAGGATATCCAGAAGTCATCTAGAGGCAGTGGTTAAAGTTAATGGCAATTTTATTGAATAAATTTACTCTTTAATATGTTTGTGTAATATATTTGTTAAAATGAGGTGTCAGTGCTGTTTTTATCTTTGCATATTTTAGACGACAATTTATCCAGCGCAGTATATATATATATATATATATATATATATATATATATAAAGCTTAAATTAAATGTCTTCGTTTGGTTTCATTACCTAGTTCTCATTTTTTCTACTATTGCACTCTTTAACGGTGTCACTTTCATAGCAATTCAGCAACTGGCAAAAATCCTGAGTAGGGCTACAGCTGAGTGACAAAGTTTCTCCAGGCCATGAACCAAAAACTGACTAGAGTGAAAATGCATTAGCTCCACTGGGTGATCTTATACCAGTTAAGAGCATCATGAAAAGAAAAGAAAAAAGAAGAGAAAAAAAGAAAAGAAAAAAGAAAAGAAAAAAAGAAAAGAAAAAAGAAGAGAAAAAAGAAAAAAAAAAGAAAAGAAAAAAAGAAAGAAAAAAGAAAAGAAAAAGAAGAGAAAAAAGAAAAAGAAAAAAGAAGAGAAAAAAGAAAAGAAAAGAAAAAAAAAAGAAGAGAAAAAAAAAAAGAAAAAAGAAGAGAAAAAGAAAAGAAAAAAAGAAAAAGAAAAAAAAGAAGAGAAAAAAAAAAAAGAAAAGAAAAAGGAAAAAAGAAGAGAAAAAAAAGAGAAAAAGGAGAAAAAAGAAAGAAAAAGGAGAAAAAAGAAGAGAAAAAAAAAGAAAAAAGGAAAAAAAAGAGAAAAAGAAGAGAAAAAAAGAAGAGAAAAAGAAAAAGAAGAGAAAAAGAAGAGAAAAAAGAAGAGAAAAAAGAAGAGAAAAAGAAGAGAAAAAAAAGAAGAAAAAAAAAAGAAAAAAGAAGAGAAAAAAGAAGAGAAAAAAGAATAGAAAAAAGAAGAGAAAAAAAGAAGAGAAAAAGAAGAGAAAGAGAGAGAAAAAGAAAAAAGAGAAGAGAAAAAAAGAGAAGAGAAAAAGAAGAGAAAAAAAAGAAAAAAAAAAGAAGAGAAAAAAGAAGAGAAAAAAAAGAAGAGAAAAAAGAAGAGAAAAAAAGAAGAAAAAAAGAAGAGAAAAAAAAGAAAAAAAAAAGAAGAGAAAAGAGAAAAAAAGAAGAGAAAAAAGAAAAGAAAAAAGAAGAGAAAAAAGAAAAGAAAAAAGAAGAGAAAAAGAAAAGAAAAAAGAAAAAGAGAAAAAAGAAAGAAAAAAGAAAAAAGAAAAAAAGAAAAAGAAGAGAAAAGAAAAAAGAAGAGAAAAGAAAAAAGAAGAGAAAAGAAAAAAGAAGAGAAAAGAAAAAAGAAGAGAAAAGAAAAAAGAAGAGAAAAGAAAAAAGAGAAAAGAAAAAAGAAGAGAAAAGAAAAAAGAAGAGAAAAAAAGAAGAGAAAAGAAAAAAGAAGAAAAAAGAAAAAAGAAGAAGAAAAAAGAAGAAGAAAAAAGAAGAAGAAAAAAGAAGAAGAAAAAAGAAGAAAAAATTTGAAGTTAGACCTAAGATTAGCAATTACGTAACATAAAAATAAAGTAAGGGTTACTGTCATTTAAATTAAGCAATAATCTTTGTTTTGACTTCCTAGTTCGCTTTTCTTCCACTGTCCACTTGACTTTCTCACCAATCAAGCAACTGGCAAAATCCCTCAGTGGGATTAAAGATGAGAGACAAAGATTTTCCAAGCAAAAGACCAAAAACTAAAACAGGTTTACTTATGTCAGTCAACAGGGATGACATCTACATTAAATGCTAAAGTCTCTAACTAGTTGACTGAAGGTTGTGCGCTCACTCTCTCCACTGCGCAGTTAATTTTATTTTTCTCTTCAAACACTTTATATATTAGTTAAATGAACAATTACCAAAAAATTAATCTAAGAAACCCTAGAGCCAAGGTGTGGGTGAAGCTGAATATAACATCAATCAGTTAAGTGATAAATTACATTTACTTATATTGTGTGTGTGTGTGCATAATAGGATACAGAATCCAGACAAAGTTGGAAGAATATGACTAATGGAAAAACATTTCATTGAAAGTAGATTGAGTATTATATTTATTCTGTATCTTTTCTTTACAATTTTTTTTGTTAAGATTTAATTATAAATTTTCCCAACTTTCCTGCATTCAGTTTCATACTATATTCAAAATTTTCTCAAAAGCAAGAGATTCATAAAGATTTTTTTTTTTTTTTTTTTTTAAAATGAATTTAAGGTAAATCCTCATCCGGTTTTTCAGAATGGGTTGAAAGTAAAAGATATTTTTAGGTCAGACCTTGTGTTTTCTATGTCGACAATATGTGTACAAAATAGGATACAGAATCCAGAAAAATATATAAATACCTAACAAAATAAATCCTTGCTATTTCCAATCAAAACAGTAATTTTTTTTTTTTTGCGGTGGTATTTTATTTGGAAATCTGGTTAAAAATATAATTTTAGTTTTCCTTTTACAGATATACTCTATCTGAAATTTTTTACACATAATTTTATATATATATATATATATATATATATATAAAAGACTGTTTTTAAGATGAGGAAAAAAAAAAAAAACTAGTTCTTTAACATTCTCAACTACAAACACTGGAACTCTTTACTATTTATCAGTCAAATATTGTAGACTAAGATACAAAACAGCACCAAACCTGGAGTTCATAACAAAAATAAATCAATGAAAATTAAAAAAAATAAATAGGTAAATAAATAATAAATGCACATGGATAGACACGCACACATCACTAGAGAGAAGTTAAGAGTCTAATTTACAAGCTATTTAAATAATATAAAAAGCATGAAAATAAAATCAAACTTACATAACATTAACTATGCTAAAAGTTTAACTGACCCAAGAGAATAGTTCATGCAGTCATGCAAGTGTGAAGATGAAATGCTTAAGTGCTACAAAATGGCAAGCCTTACGAATAGCGTTACATCAATTCATTTTCTGACCTATGTGATCAGAAAATAACATGCTAAAGCAGGTATGTTGAAAACAAGATTAAAAAAAAAAAAAAAAAGAAAATAAAGGCTAGTTGTGAGTTAATATATTTATTAAATCTACATTTGTTTTTTTTAATAAAAAAAAAAAAACAACAAAAAAAAAAGCAGCTCAATTATTTACAAAATTTCTGTATTGGGACCAATATGAGAAATTTGGGCCATGTTGTAATTTTAGTGACAGGAATTTAAAAAAAACAAAACAGTAAAGATTTGTGAATATGAGCACGTGTAAGCAAGGGATGTCTAAAAAAAATTATTTGGCAACTTTAGCCACAGGTTAACATCTCCATCAACTGCCTCTCATAACAATCATAGAATATACAGACAAGGGGAAAAAAAAAAAAGAAGATTTTCAAAATATCATAAAAAGCATTTTTTTCCCATAAATTATGCAAATTATTACATTACAAATGGATCATAATAATTACCATTGCAGTAAACAACAAAAATTAAATTTTGAAAAAAGTTGAAATTTTGCTGGAATTAAAAAGGAAAAACGAAAAAAAAAAAGAAAAAAAAGAAGATAGTAGTATGTGTCTTATTTGCTTTTATTAAAGAGATATTATCATCAACAATATCATTTGAAAGGGAGAGGGAAAGAAAAAAATATTGCATTTTATCAGTTTTGTTTCATCTCTCGCTTTTTTTTTTTTTTTTTAATTTTATTTTTTTAATAGCAATTTTTACACACATTTTAAATAAAAACAGCCAAAACTTAAAGAAACTGAGACAAAAAAATTTTAAATAAAATCCTCAAAGAAATTAAAAAAAAAAAAAATAAACCTAAAGTCAGAAGGCACTTTACCAACCAAAAAAAAAAAAAAAAAAAGAAGAAAAAAAAAAAAAAAAAAAAAACGAAAAGAAAAAAAAAGGAGTCTAGAAAGCTAAATGAACTACTTCTTGACATTTTTTTTTCTCTCTAAGTAACACCTAAAAACAATACTGGAATGCTTTTGTTAAGGTTTAAAGTAATAAAACCACAATCCTGATCATAAATTACATATCTCATACACACATTTACATATCCGAGATGAGATGGAATTCATGAAAACCTGCTGGATGTTTAATATTTTTTTTTTTTTTTTTTTTTTTTTTACTCATTAATGTTTCAATCTGAACAAGCATTTTCAAAACAGCTCAAAATAAAAAAATTTTAGATAACAAAGTTGCTATTGTAACAATTTCTTAAAACTTTTCAGTTGTTTTGAAAATTCTGGTACAGAGTAAAACACTAACAAGTAAATAAATTAAAAAAAAAATTTAAACATTCAATTGGTTTTCACAAACTATCTCATATACTTTCTTTGGGTATTTCATATTAATTATATATATATATATATATATATATATATATATATATATATATATATATATATATATAATTATGGGGGAGTGTATCTATATTTACATAGAGGGGGAAGGGGGGTATAAATTTACAAGCCTAATCGTACGTAGATGTTGCCATAAATACAGCTTTGTCCAACAAGTATATAGAGGTATAAATATATTCTATGGAAATGAAAAATATGTACACAAATGTGGTTGGAAATAAGCAAAATTAATCTGCTCACCTTCATCAAGAGATAAGAATCTATTACTCATTCAGGGATGAAAAAAAAAAAAAAAAAAAAAACGGGAGGGGGTGGAGGGCTGGGAATATTCTGATCTTATTTTTCTTTGTGTGTATTCTCATGTGATGGTTTACTAAAGGAAATTTTGCTATTAAAAGAAAAGTTGGAATACTTCACATAAGAAATTTTTAAATAGGGAAAAAAAAAAAAAATCTAGAGAATTTTAAAAACCTTTTTATTATTTTAATTTTTATTGTGGTTGGAAAGGAAATTGAAAGGGTAAAAGTTTACAGCCAATAAAACCAATAATTATGTATATGGAATGTTGTTTTTTTTTTTTTTTTTTTTTTTTTAAAATAAACTAATTTAATGAAAGGGTGAGAGAGAGAGAAGATACGTTGTTTTAGGACTTTTTTTTTTTCATTTGTTTTTTTTTTTTCTTATTCTTTCAGGAATCTTCCAATGTGGTTTTCTGGCCTAACAAAAGATGACGAAGAGAATGTTGATTGGAATTGTCGACAACGTTATAACAGTAGAACACACTCCCACAACGGGGGGCATTTCTGAATGCAACACTGACGACGAAGATTCAATTCTAAAAAAACGACAAGATATTAAAGGTTAATGCTTTGTTTTTTTTTTTTTGTTTCAGTACAATAAAAAAAAGTAAAAATAGACAAAACAATGAAAGAATTCTAATGAATGGGCAATGTTTATCAATTCCTATAGACATGGACATTTTTCTTTTTTACTCTAATTTCATGAAATAAGCAATTGCAAATAATCTAAGGTCTTTCTAAATGGAGAAAATAGCAAATCTGAGATGAAGATAAGCACAAGAAAAGTTTGGTGTGCATCAATCAGGTGAAAGAAAAAAAGGACAAAAAAAAAAAAAAACAGGAGCAAAAGACTTTCTAAATGCAATTAAGCCAGACGGGAACTACAATAAGTGCAGATGTGATTCTTAATACTTTGAAAACAAATATAGAGATGACAAAAATGAAAATAATTTCCGTGGTTAAAACTTCAGCAAGGAGAAAAAGATTTTACCCCAAGATATGCCAAAATGGTTGGTAAATTTGAAGTTAACTAACAGTAGGCAGTAGTTTGACTTCTTAAAAGTAAATATGCAAACATGTTTATATGTACGACTTACTGTATGTAAGAAGAAGTATCCATGCAAATTACACTTAACAGATTCAAATTATAAAGTGGTACCAATATGAAACATCCCAACTATGTATTGATATATCTAATTACTATGATTATTATTAAATTGATATATCTAATTACTATGATTATTATTAAATTAATCCACTTTTTTCTAGTTAAAATTCATTTTTTTTTTTAATTTTAAATTAAAAAAAATTGAAAAACTTTTTTAAAAATTAAAAAAAAAAATGTTTCAATGGTTAGCTAATTTTCATTAAAAACAAAAATTAGCTAACCATTGAAATGCTTTATTTAAAACAGCCAAAATATACACACGTACATAAAAAAAATTGTTATTTTTAGTTTCATTTTATATGAAACCAAAAATAACAAAATGTTTTCAGATATCAGTGGAAAATCATTTGCGATATATTAGTTCAAAAGTAGCATCATTTTTTTTTTTTTTTCTTAAATTATTGGGAACTGAACAAATAGATTAATTTGGGTTTAGGCAAATATACTAAAAAAAAAAAAAGAAAGTTAAATTGAAAAGAAAATCAAGAAAGAAAGAAATTTAAAATATTTCTAGAAAGTTGGATTTAGTGACCATAATAGAGAAATACTAAAAATATTTTTCATCTATTCAAACTTCAACATTAATAATCAATAAGGAAGTTCATGATCAATTGTAAAATGAAATCACATGTTGGTTCAAGATTATTTTCCCTGTATTCAATTTCGCAGTAAATAGCAGGAACTAATTACTGAAACAAATTAAGAGACTCAAATTGATTCAGAGCTTGTGTAAAAAAAAAAAAAAACCATTACAACTTCTAAAGAAATTTATTCATACCTAAGAAATATTACAGCAACAGGTACAAATATGGTTTACTAACAAGTGAAATCAGTTTTATTCAAATTCTTATTAGCAAGAGTAAAAAAAAAAATAAAAAATCTTGAAAAAGAATCTTCAGTTCTATAGCAACATTCTGCTTATGTGATCAGATTAATATCAAGTCTTAAGTTGATGATTTGACTCAAAAAAAAAAAGAAAAAACAAAAAAAAAAAAATGAGTTTGGGTAGATGGTTGTAAAGTAGATAAAACTCATTCAGGATATAAAATACAAGGGTGAAAAATGAAGGTTAATGTAGATTTGACAAAGTTTAACCTTTGTATCCAGAAAAAAAAAAGAAAGAAAGAAAGCAAGAGGAGAAAAGTGTGTCAAATTTTCCACTTGCTCCTACTGTATACTCCTGTTAATCCTTCAGCAATGTTTATTCTTTTAAAAAGCTATGTTTAGAATTTTAATAACAAAAATGTTACACAGTAATTTTATATTTACAAGATTACAAAAATATATGAATATTTGAATCAATTAGCAAATGTCTTTGCCAACCATTCCAAAGAATACAATTTGCCAGCTTCACCAATTGTTTTGGTCAAAGTGCTTTGTGCCCATTCTTCATCAGTCATTACTTAGATAACACTTAAAAATTGATATGGAAAATTAATCTTATAAGTAAACAATCTAAATAAATAATGCATGACATTTTTGTTTCTGTCTATATTTCTGAGATGAGGTATTGTAATTATTTACATTATTTACATTCTTCAGACTGTTGTCCTCATCTTTATTGCTGTATTCACAACATTTCAGCCGTTATACGCTTCAGCCTTCTTCAGGTGATTGAAGAGTTGAGTTAAAGGGATATAACCGAGACATCCGGAAGAGGCATGGCACGTGAAACTAGAACAATCTACCCCCAGTGGACAAAATAAAGGCTCCACTTCTAAATTTCAATCACCTGAAGATGGCCAGAGTGTACAACGGCTGAAACAAAGTGAATATGACAATAAAAATGCGGACAACAGTCCGAACAATGTCAATAATGTAAACATTTTTGTTGTTATTAAATTTCTAAAAAAAACTTTTTTAAAGCAATGAACATTGTCAGGAGTATACGGTAATAGTGGTGTCAAAAGAAAAACCACCTTTTGATACCCTGTTTATTTCCTTTGCAGGTACAAAGGTTAAACTTTGCCATTGATTCTTATATTTCAATAGATTAGCTCACTCATTCTTTCAAAGCAAAACTTTCAGAACACATCTAAATTATTATTTTATTCAAATTAATTTCAGTGTTCAAATTTAGACTGCCTTGCGAAAAAAAGTATTTGATAAAAACAAGACAATAGAAGTTCAAAGTGCAAAAAAAAAAAAAAAAAAACATTTAAGTCTATTTGTGAATATTTCTTAGAAATAAACATTTAAAAAAAAATCATTTTTTTTCTCTTAATAAATTTTTAGGTTTCGTTTTATGGTAACATAAATAAACACTTTGTAAGCAACTTCATTTTCATAGCAAACATTTTACAACTCCTTGAAAACAATAGCATATTTGACTATTGCAGCTGTGTTGTCATGTGCTGCTATGACAAAAGCAAAAAGAACTTTAATTGAAACCAGAAATCTTGGTGCACTTAAAAAAAGGGATGTAATAATTGTGAGTAATGTAGAGTGCTAAAGATTAACTTGTATATAAAAGAATGAGTTTTGAATCTGAATCCAGGAAAGAAAAAAAATGAAGATAAATAAATTCTTTTAATCACAAAATAGGAATTTAAAGGAAACACTATTTGATACCAAAATATTGGCTAAGTAACTTTGGAGCTAATTGATGCCCAATCATATTTTGTATCGATTTAAATGAGATTTTAAAATATTAAGCTTAATTCACAAGATGTCCAAATGTCTAACAAAGTAAAAGAACAGTTTTGTAGATAGAAATGAAGAACCAAATGCAAAAAGCAAGATGTTTAAATGTCTAACAAAAAACAAAATTGTTTGACAAAATTGCTCTCTCTCAGTTCCTCACCACCAGCAGAGAGCCACCAAGAAAACATTGTATTTTGAGTTTATCAAGACATCTACCATATGTCTTTTGTTTTTGTTTTTTAAAAGAGAAAATATTTCCAAGATGGTAAAGAATTCAACTGAAGTTTCCTGATAGTCTTGCAAAAATGAAACAAATATATTCCAGCAGTTAAACACAATGCAGCAACAAAAAGGAAATGAAAAAAAAATCTTAACTAATTAAAATCAGTTCATCAAGGGTAAAGAATGAAACATTAGATAAGGGGGTGCTGAAAAGTTCTTGGTTAAATCCACTTCCTAAAATAAGTATTCAATGACCACTAAAGAAACTTCAGGAATGAGGATCCAGGTATGTTGAATTTTGGTTGTGGGGGGTGAATATGTTGAATCACATATACATTTCATGACCAAGTCAATCCCTACTTAGTCAAGTTAACAACTTTTCAGCACCCTTTAATACTAGCACTGGAAAAAGAAAAATTATGGTAAAATAAATTTCAATAAATATCTTCCATTTTTTTTTTTTTTTTTCCCCAAATCAAATAATATTTATGAAACTTTCCATCAGTTGGTTAGTTTTGAGCTTTAGTTAAAACACCTATAAAAACAGTCAATTTGTAGATAAAACAATAAATGTTATACAAGGTAGATATTTTTTCCTTTTTTTCCTTTTTTTTTTGTTTAATTTTAAAGAAGCTTAACTGGATTAAAAAAGGTTAAAAGCAAATCAATTTTTTAAATGCGGTGTTATTTATTATTTAAAAAGCTAAACATAAAAACAAATCTTTAACTAATGAAAAAGATATCAACAATAATAAATTTACCAGAACATCCGTAGCAAAAAGATTTATGTTGCTACAAAGTGTTAAAACTGAGGGACCCAAAATATTTTAAAGGGATATTAATCATATAAAACACAGGTATTGCTACTGTTGATTAATCTTATAAATCTGCAGTGAAATCATCTTTTATACAATTTATCTAGACAAAGGTTAAATAATTATCATTCTCTCTATTCAGTAGTTAAAATTTAAAACTGATTTCTGGACAGATCTCAAATTATAATACTTTAGAAAGTGTACAAAAAAATTGTTTTAAATTTATGTCTAATTCACTTTATATGGCTTGTGTGTATGTGTGATTAAAAGAATGTTGGGGAGTGCCGGGACAATTTATCAAAAAAAAATATTCTCACCGAAACCTCTAAATATCTTTATAAAATATATTCTTAAAAAAATAAATAAATAATAAAAATAAATAAATAGAAATAAATTACAAAAAAAAAAACAAAAAAAAAAAAAAACCAATGCTAACAGATTTTTTACATTGATCTAATTAATGAAAGTTTTGTAAGTAGAAAGTAATTTTTCCAGACAAAATTTCATTACCCAAAAAAAAAAAAAAAAAAAAAAAAAAATTTTGGCATGTTTTTGTTGTTTTTTTTTAACAAATGAATAAAATTTTTTTTTTTTTATGCAATATCTATTAAAAAGAAAAAAAAAAAACTGAATCACCTCTACCCTATTGCCAACAAATTGTTTTGTTTTTTTTTAAACCAGATACATTATTACTGCATTTACTGGTGTGAGAAATAACTTTTTATTTCAATAACAACTCCTATCCAACCACTGAGATGAGTCGAGAAAATACAGATATTTACAATGAGGAAAAAAAAAAAAAAAAAAGGTGTCATAAAAAGGAGGAAGAAAGGGGAGGAGAAAAATTGATTTCATAATTTGTATACAATGTCAGGAAAAAAAAATGAGGGAGGTTTGAAGAAATTAAGATCAATTTTTTTTTTATTTACAAAATTAATTCAAATTTACTGTTTGCCATGTGTGTGAGTGTGTGAGTGTGTGTACGCGCGCATGTGAATTGCATGTAAATGTGAGCAGTGGGGGTGGGGAGCATGGTTGTGAATATGCATGTATACGTTGACAAGAAATATGAAAAATGGATAATGGTTTGTCAATTAAAAAAAAAAAAAAAAAGTAGAAAGAGTCCATGACATGTCATGAGTAGTAGTAGTAGTAGTAGTATTAATAGTAGTAGTAGTGCCTCTAAAAAGTTATTCTAAAAAAAATAGAGAAAGAGAGAGAGAGACTTGCTAGAAAAAGATTAGATTGTCAAATCCTTTATGCCAAAGTGCAGATTGTGCCTTCCTACCTCTGGACTGGCGAGCTGATACTTGGGAAGGTGAAAAAGAAGCTGCAGACCACTTGAAAGAAAATTCGCTACTGGCTCCCGAGACATCTGCTGCAGCAGCGGGAGAGGCAGCATTTGTGGCAGATGTCAACTGGTCAGCTGAAACAAGTTTTTAAAAAAAAAAAAAAACAAAAGCAAAGAGAGAGACAATCAGATAAGTAGTAGTAGAAGAATTAGTGGCGAAAGAGAGAAAGAGAGATAGAGAGCCAATTTAGCATTACTAAGTAGATGAAGAATAAAGAACAGAAATATTTGACTAACAAGTTCTCTTGATTGTACCCAATACCTGAGATGATTTCACAAAAATTTTTTTTTTTTTTTTTTTTTTTTTTGTTAACAAGAAATTTTGTCTCAAATCATTCAAATGACTTATCTGATCAGTTCTAGATCAGGGATTCTCAAATGCTGTGCTGTGTGATCTTAAGTGTGCCCTGAAATATTGTCACGGCATACATATGTGTGTATGTGTGTACAGAAGTAGCAATGGTACAACCTTATTATTTGAATACATGACTAAGTATTAAGCTTTATTTTTTCAAATAATTCTTTATTTTAATATTCATTTTTTTTTTAAATATACTTTCATTTTATTAATTTAACTTCTTAAAATTTTCCTTTATTTGAATGAATATTAACCTTCTTTTCCTGTAATTGTATTCAACATTTTTTTGTCTAATTCAAAATTTCATAATATAAATTAAAAATTTTGCAATGTGTGCCATGATATTTTCATTTACTCCTAGGTGTGCCATTGCTTAAAAAGGCTGAGAAACACTGGTCTAGATGATAAAACAAACTTTCACCATATCCATATATAAAAAAAAAAAAACATTTGAATGTAAAAAAAAAAAAAAAATATCATGAAGTCTTACAAAGTTCATTTAAAATTGATTTGAAAAACTTACATATACAGATTTTATTGTTATTAGAAATTTAGCTTAAAAATTCTTAAAGACTTGAAAGAATAACTCAGCAATACAGATTTTTTTTAAATTTTGCATTTTGACTAAATATCAATAAAATATGGTTATGAAAATAATTTAGCATATCTGTTCATATGCAAGAAATTGGTGGGAAACAGTCAAATAAAAAAATAACAATTTTCAGGAGAGCATATATATCGGTTTCTAAAAGATCATTTCTGTCACAAATTAATGTCCATATTAATTACCATTTAAACACACACAAATCTATATTGTTTTAGATTGACTTACAGAATAATAACTTATGTCACCACATGCTTAAACCGAATGAAAAATAAGACAAAAAATCCAAGAAAAATATGACAAAAAAAAAGTGCAAGAAAAAATTTCATGAACAATTGAAAAGGAAAGAAAATATTAACTTTACATTAAATTTGAAATCTTGTAATCAGTGTTGTCATAAGAATAGACAATTGAATACTTGTTGCTTTTCTCAGATTAACCATCAAAGACAAGATGAATTTCATACAAATTAAATTTTAACATCAACTCAAGTTTCAAAAGTCCAAGAAAGTTTCAAAAATATAATTTCCAGCATGCATTCCATTCTTGATATTCTTTCAAATAAAATACAGAAATTGGAAGCAGTGCCAAAAACATTGCAGCCAACTAAAGCTAACACTTAAAAAAAATTTTTAAATTTCCATATATATAAATTTTTATATACCAGAACAGTGTTAAGAAAATTAATGACAAAGTGTAAAAACTTTTTGCATCTCACATTTCGTCCTTTTAGCCCAAGGAAGTCCTAAAGGATGAAATGTATTGCATGAAAATTTTTTCCCCACTTTGTCATTATATATATATATATATATATATATATATATATATATATATAGGGAAGAGGTTATAGTTGTTCCAATGAGTAAAAAAAGTGTATATTTTGAAAATAGAGGAACCACAAAAGTTTTGGTTTTAATGTGGATTTTTAAAAAATATATATTATGCTTTATTATCCATAATTTTGCAACACGCGTTTCAGGTCTCGCAACCTTCTTCAGGCAAAGAGTGGATATTTTCCACATATTATTAAAATGAATTAATTTTCCTTATGTTTTTCGATGTTAAACATTATCTTTTTTTGTGTGGTAGTGACCCAAATGCCTTTCTTGGACTCATATATATATATATATATATATATATATATATATATATATATATATATATATATATATATATGTGTGTGTGTGTATATGTACATACATACATACAGACAGAGTGTATCAAAAATACTTTTAAAAATTTTGAAGGTGTGTTTCTCACACCAAAGCAAGGACAATGTCTATATAAACATATGTCCGCAAATCTTTCATTTTTGAGTTAAGTTCAAACTTTACAGGAGACGCTGTTAAATGTACAATCCAAGATACAATCCAAAAATACTTTACAGACTTTGGGGTGTCTTCCTGGCACCAAAACAAGGTAAAATGTCCATATAAACATATGTCCAAAAAGCCATTGTTGTACCTCAACACAACAACTCATAACAAATTTTTAAAATGTCCTCCACTTGCTTCTACACACACTATGCACCCATCTGATCATTGACTGGTGGACCTTTTCAAATACTCCCACACAGTGTTGAACAGTTTTACAGGTCCCCATGACACAATGGTGAAGTCTCTCTACATTATTAATGTCTGCTGTATAAACCAATAGTTTTAGGTGGTTCCACAGATAAAAGTCCAAAGGATTGAGGTCAGGGGAATATGCAGACCATAGAACCAATCCTCCCCTACCTATTCATCTTTCATGGTAGGTATCAGCTAATGCATCACAAACAATATGACTAAAATCTATTAGAGCTCCATCATGCATGAACCACATGCGTCTTTGTAATAGCAGGAGTACATCCTCTAGCAGGTATAGAAATGAGTTTGAAATAAAGTTCCTGTAGACAGCTCCTGTAAGACGTGCTGGGAGAACATATGGACCTACCAGAGAGCTACCTACATTTCTAGCCCACACATTAATCAGAAACTGATGCTGGTGTCCAGCCTGTATTGTACCATGGGGATTCCGATCTGCCCACAAATGTTGGTTATGTAAATTTGTTATTCCATCTCCAAATGTTACCTCATTTGTAAATAAGACTGAATAGACTAACAATGGATCAGCACATTGTGCAATAAACCATTGGCAAAATTTCTCCCATGATGAGTGATCAGAGGGCAAAAGACCCTGCACATGTTGTAAATGATATAGATACAGGAGCTGCTCTTGAAGTAACCTGTACTATAAGATGTACAACATGTTAGGGACAATTGATGTGTGCTGAGAGCTGGATCGTATCTGACAGCCTATAGAATGTATTCTTCATGGTCAGGTATACGAGTGGATCTTGGTCTTCCTCAATCCATAGTTTGTGGAGTCACGCACCTTGTCTCAGCAATGTGACAATAAACAGCAGCAAAGGTTGTATGACTCAGTTCTCTTCAGTTTGGAAATGTAATCTGACACAGCTGTGCAGCCTCGCAATCATATGTAAAAATCATATCTACCTGTTCACGATATGAATATCCTGCCATTGTTAAATGGAATACTTCTTAGTTGACTCACTACTACACCTGTTAAACGTTGAATACAGACTAGCCACAAATGTACATGAATGGCAAATATAAGTTAGTCTACATGGCAACATAGCACCACCTACTGTAAACTTTCTTTAAACCCCAAAAAGAAGGATTTGTAGACATGCTTATATGGACTTTTGTGCTTTTTTTGAAGTGAGGAACCCACCCCAAAGTTTGTAAGAGTATTTTTGATACACCTTGTGTGTGTGTGTGTGTGTGTGCGCGTGCATGCGCATATTTATTTGGACAATTTTTATATAATTTATGTCCTGAAAAGAAAAAAATTATACGAACACATGAGAAATTATATAAAAAATCTCAACAACTGCATCTTGTCAGTAGTTTTCAACAAAACTTGCATGCATATATATATATATATATATATATATATATATATATATATATATATATATATATATATGTGTGTGTGTGGTCACAGATGGCAAATGAGGGTTCAGTAAAATAAAAAGATGCTGAACTTATATATTTGAGAAAAATGACAGTGTGAATATAGGAATCAACACTGCATAGTGACAGTCAGTTTCATGCTTCAATGTGATCTTCAGATGGTGTCACACTGCAATGTTGATTCCTATGTCTACTGTTTATATCTATAAACATTCTATTCCTGATACTGAGCACTTTCTTTCCATAAATATAGCAAACTTTAAACAATATTTAAAAAAAAAAAAATAAAATAAAATATAAAGATGCAGATGAATTCATTCAACATCAAAATAAAAATAAAAAACAAGGAAACTATGCATAAGAAACTATATTTGATGCAAAAATTTTAGCTAAGTACTTAAATACTAAGTGAGATCCAATCTAAAACAGAATATTAAGCAATATTTTAGCTTAATTAAAAAGACGTCTTTAACAAAAAAACACCCAATTACTCCACCACCAGAGAGTCACGGAGAAAACACAGAATCTTGAATTTATAATGAAATCTACAATTTTTTTTACTTTCACCTTTAACATTCTGGAGGTGATTTTGGTTGCAAAGAAAAAATTTAATCCTGCTACTGCCATTGACTTTGATGAATGAATAGTTGTGTTGTTAAATCTCGCTATGGCAACAGAAAATGACCATGAATGGAATTAAGTAAAGGAGCCTAGAAAAACAATGCAGTGGAAAAGAAACTAGTGAATAATGCATTTTCATGGTAGTTTTACAAAAATGAAAAATATATTCCAGCAGTTAAACACAATGCAGCAGTAAAATGGAATTGAAAAAAAATTTCAACTCATTAAAAGATTGGTTCATTAAGAGTAAAGAGTAAAGACTAAAACAACATTAGGAAAGTTCTTGGCCAGACCCACTTCCAAAAATCAATCAGCCAATTGCGAAAATTATGCTGGTGTAGATTTCTTGGTTTATGAGGGAAGTATACAAGTGACAGGAGTGGAAGTAAATGATACTGTCTGTATATATTGCATTACTGGAATAAACCACTCTAGTTAGTATAAAAGCAACTATTTTTAGTCATCATTTTATGTCAGAGAGAAGGGGGTTTCTGATTTTCATTAAGCTGAAGAA